AGGTTTGATGTTTGCTGCATATAGAGATAAGGAATAATGATATTTGGTTACAAGTTTTGAAGGGATGCAACAAAAATTATCTGTTGTGAATTGGGCAGCTGAATTATTTGGAGACATTGATCAGATAGTGAAAAATTTTTAAAGATAATTTTTTAATATTCAAGGTAATCATATTCCTTACAGAAAGAAAATGTGAACTGCAAGTAAAGACTCAGGTTGGCTCACAAAGAGTTTAAGAGATAAAATTAAAGAACAGCATCATAAATTTAAGAAATTTAAATTGACTGGTATGACAGGAGATTTAGAAGATTATAGAAGATCAAGAAAGTTTATGAAACAGGAAATTAGGACATCTAAAAGGATGTATGAGAAAAGGTTGGTTGAAAATGTAAAAATTAACAATAAGGATTTCTTTAAATACATCAAGGGTAAACAAAATATTAGGATGGGGTAGGATCTTTGAGGGATGATAAAGGAAGGCTAGTATCTGATGATTATAAGATGGCTGGGTTATCAAATTTTGCTTTTTCTTTTATTTTTACAAATGAAGATTTAACCAGTATTCCACATCTTGAACAGTTGATAAATGGAAATGAGATCAAACAAGATGACTGCATTAATTCTGAGCAGATTAAGAAAAAATTGGGAAGTTTAAAAAATGACAAAGATCCTGGGCCAAATAATATTTCCCCAAGGGTTTTGAAGGAGGTTAAAGATTGGATATGTGAGCCATTACTACTATTTTTTTGTCAGTCCTTGAATAGTGGGTAACTACCAGAGGATTGGAAGTTAGCTAATGTATCTCCTCTTTTCAAGGGAGGTGATAAAATTGTCCCAGTAATTATAGATCCATTAGTCTTACATCAGATGTGGGAAAAGTTTTGAAAAGTCTGTTAAAAGATGCTTTGCAAAGTGATTTAACAAAGTTTAGAATTTCATTGGATAGTCAACATGGTTTCACTAAGGGAAAATCTCGCCTTACAAATCTTTTGACATTCTTTGAAAAGATTAATACTTATGTAGATGAGGGTAATTGTATAGATTTGGTGTATCTGGATTTTCAGAAAGCATTTAACAAGGTGCCACATAAAAGATTTATAGAAAAAAATATTTCTATAGATGTGGAGGATAAGTTAGCAAATTAGATGGAAGAAAGCAGAGGGTTTTTACAAATTGAATTCAGTCAAACTGTATTAATGTCACAAATGGGGTACCCCAGGGCTCAGTCTTAGGTACTTTGCTCTTTTTTATTTACATTAATGACAAAGATGAAGGAATGGTCAATGAATTACTTAAATTTGCAGATGATATTAAGGTCTTGGGTGTTGCTAGCTGTGAAGAGGATGTTACTAATTTAAATCATTTAGTGAGTTGGGCAAATAAATGGCAGTTGGGTTTTAATTATAATAAATGCAAGGTAATGCATGTAGGTTATCATAATTGGAATTATAAGTGTAATTTGGATGGGGAAAAACTCTAACAGTGTTATGAAGGAAAAGGATCTTGGTGTAATAGTCGATCAGTCTCTAAAGTCATTCAAGCAGGGTGCTGTTGCTAGTGGTAAGACAAATAGTATTTTAGGTTGTATATACAGAAATCTTGAAAGTCTAAAGAGATTATAATTTTATTGTACAGGTCACTGGTTAGGCCACATTTGGAAAATTGTGTTCAGTCTTGGGCTCCTAAACTTAGGAAATACATTGAATTGTTGGAAAGGGTTATTAGAATGTTGCCTGGGATGGAGGGGTTGTCATACCAGGAGAGGCCTCCCAAATTGTTTTCTCTTGAAAAAAAAAGAAGTAGAAGGTGTTTAAGATTGTAAAGGGGATTGATAGTGTTGATGCATCATCTTTTTTTCATATTTAATAGGACTAGGGGACACAAATATAAATTTTGGCTAGGTAGGAGTCATCTTCGGATCTTGCAGAGGCAGTACATTTAAGTGAGTTTAAGAGAAAGCTTGATAACTATATGAATGATATGGGCTGGATTTGAGGGTTTTTTGTTTTAATTATTTTAGTTTAGTTTAGAGGATGGAACAGCGAGATGGATCAATAGGTCCAATGTTGTCCCAAAACATTATGTTATGTTACTATCTCTTCTGCAGACATTACCATGCAGGTTTTAATCTAATTTACTGCTCAGCATGTCCAGTATGTATGAATTATCTTGTGTAACTCATCTTTATGTGTTAATAAATTGTTCTCAGTTTTGTCATTATTGAACTAACTGAAGTTTACTGTCGATGACCTAGTCATACTAAATATAGAACAAGGTTATCACAGAGATCTGATACCAAAATTTACCAATTTTGTAATGAGCAACTGAGCTACAAACCATGAACTGTGAGATACTTGTTCACTTTAGAAACTCTTGTGTTTGTTTGTCTTTTCTTTGATCACACTGTCTATAATAACGAGTCCAAATTCTCATACAAAAACCTACACAGGTAATACCATTCATATGAGGGATACCTGTAACAATGTAGATTAATTTGTCTATTAAAATCTGAAGTCAGCAAGTGTAAAGAAGAAATATGTTGTGAGGTATCTACATTTCAGTTCTAGCTTAGTGATATGGAATGATCATGCAATTCAAAGAAGAAAAATTAAATCCTCAAAGTTGACTCAGACTTAAAGATTTTTATCCTAATTGGCCATGCCAACCAAGGTAGGAAAACAACATACAGATTGTCTGCAGAAGCAGCTAAACAAAAGTAATATTTTTCCATATAAAAGAATGTGCAAATGTAAAAATAGTTGAAACTTAATGTGACCCTTCATGCTGAGCCAGAAGCAGGCTCTCAAAGAAGTCAGCACGTTGGTAAGAAGCATACTTAAGTTTTAAGTGCACAAGAAAAAATCTCCAGGAAGTTGTACTCTGAAGATAATGTATACAGAGTTATTTGTATATTGATGTATAGCCTGAAAGAAGACTAATAAACAAATTTGTATTTTGGATAAATTACGAACTGTAAAGTGTAATAATTATGAAATTTGTTCAAGGAAATTAAGGAAGGACTATTGTGCTATAATATATTATGATATAAATATTTTACATATACTTTATAGAAAGCCTGTGCTACAACATTTGCTGATAGGTATTATTCTTAACTTTGTTTAATGCAAACTGGAGTTTATTATGAGACATTTTTATTAATGTAAATAAAGTAATGACTTATATCTCCAATGTATTTTTATTGGCTCATGATTTCAATATTGCAGTTGTATGAGGAGCTATTGATAACCTACAAATTCCCTAATCCAGTTCATCATTTTATTTAAATTAATAAAATTGTTTAGGTGATAGATACCACTGCTTGATGTAGAACAATGACTTACAGACATAAGCATGGATAAAGTCATTAAAACATTTTTATATTGAGGATACTATGGAACATTCAAGGAGTTTGTAGCAATATATTATATAATCAGTTAGAGGAAATCAGAGTTAGTCAAAATTCAAAGTAAACAGTGATTGAATAAGAGACGACTTGATAACTTGTGAGGAGTTAGAAATGTCTTGTTGAGATGATATTATTTTAGAGTGAACTTGAAATTATGTACAGTGAAATAAAAATCAGGCCTAAGTAGAATCATGATTATTTTCAGATCAATTAATCTAGTTAAATAAAAAGGAGTAAACACATGAAAATGTAAACAAGATTGTGTGCATTACATTTGTATTTGTATCATCTATTAGTCCCAAAAGAATCATAGTGAAAGCCCCGTACCTAATACATTCATAAAACCTAAACAACTAGATTGAGCAATGGACATGGTTCACTTTTTTGTGCTTTTATGTAATATAATAGCTAATTTGCATAATATTCATAGTTATTATATTATGTTGGCTGAAGATAACCATCAATTCCAACCAGTCAAGTGACTATTAAATTTATATTGATCTCTTTTTCATAATGTATGGACAATGTTGTTATGGGGCATAAACTAATTTCTACCCAGTTGCTTGAATTTCCAATGGGTCAAACAACTGTTTCAAGTGTTCAATGGTTAGTCTATAACCAGACTGTCCAGACTCAAGATCAGGCATTGTATAGCCTGTTCTGAAGACCGTCCATTTTATGCAATTACATGCCTTAAAAGCTGATAGGGTTCATAAGTGCCCCATTGGTTATTCAAAGATTAGGAATTGCATATATCTCCTGTATCATTAGCCAACAGAAGTGGCTAAATTAATTTCCTTTGGTCATAAGATATGTTAAGGAGAATTGGAAAAAAACAGGCAGGTTATATTAAGATTATGGTTTTCTAAGAAATTTGCTTCTACACCAGTTGTACAAGCTAGTGATTCTGCATTCCCTAATTAAGTTATACTATCTTATATATTTATTGTTACTTTCATTAATTGTATTGGTCATACTGCTTAGTATATCAAATGTCATTACATTTTAATTTCATTTATTTTTTATTAGTATACTTTTATTATAAAGATTGTTTTGCAGTGTTAACTCAATATATGTATATAGGACTAACATAAATGTCCTAAGCTGGCAGAACCTGGTGAAATATTATTGGGATTATGACTGAAAATATTGTTAACAACGATAGTACCCAACTAATGAAAGAATGCATTCTAATCTGTATAAGTAGAAGGTTTACTTAATTAGCTATAATGATTGCCCCATTGATTTTTAATTTCACTCTTAAGTACCAAGCTTGTTCTGATCATAAGTTAATATTGAGGTAGATTTTATAGCTATTTATCATGAACTTGAGATATTGTATCAAGGTTTTCAGCATGTTATCAAATGCTCAAACTTCTTAAGTGGTTATCTATTTTTTTGTTGTTTTTTTACTTGTTTTAGAGTTAGCATTTTTAGATTTTATTTGCATTTATGTTTTTTGTTCTTTTCAATTTGATGAACGTTGTTTAAATATATGTTTAATTAAATAATTATGAACATTGTTTATATAATGCATTTTTTAATCTGTTAAGTGGTGAGATACATATAGCATGTTTGATTGTATGTATTCCAGACCTACCTATGGGTTCTAAATGAAGATAAAGACTATGAAGCTGCTTTTCAACTTGGAGCTACTGGTGTGATGACTGACTACCCATCAAAGCTCCGAAAGTACTTGGACATTAAGCAGGTAGCTCAGAGCTGATTATAGCCACTACCTAACCAAAGACCATTTTGCTTACTTCTCCAACTTCATAACATTCTTCACTTGCAAAAACAAGAGAAATTCCAACTTATTCAAGAAGTTTACACAGTTAAAAATATTTGAGAAAATTTTTTTAACAAATTTATTTGGAAATCACTTGTAATTTCATTTTTGAATTTTGATGTTAATAAGGAAACAATATTATGTAATTTCCAAGTTAACTTTTTTAAACATATTTAACATTGTATGTGTAATAGTGAAATGTAATCAAAGTGATCTATTTGTTTTTTTTAATCATGTAAGTTTAAATCTTCTCTGTAGTTTTTAAAAAGTAATGTATTAGCAACACTTGACATTGGTCCTGTAATTAAGTCATCATGATGAATGCTGCACTGATCAGAATTAGATTTAACTCAGTATTGACTTCCTATTCATTACAAGACACAACATATAATCAATTTGAATTCAAGTAATGGATAATATAGTACAAATTAAGTTTGCTCTGATTGAACAAGTGATTTGGCTCATAACAATTAGATCTATTATGAGACCTACTTACTTCACAAAACAGAAGTTTTTACATTTTATTTGATTGGTTGAGGACTATAGTTTTGAGCTGTTTGAGGTGATCATGGGATTATTCAATGTGAGCAAACATTTTTCATATTTTATCGAGATGTGTCTTCTGTCTGTTGCTTTGTTGGATCAATATCATGTATGGGGTAATGAATCTGTAAAGTATGCACTTTAAAATATCATTTTCAATTTGTGATTAAAAGAAATAGAAAACCCAAAGGTATTTTTCATAAATTTTTTAACTTGTTATTAGTTGGAGTAAGTGATATATCTTTTTTTTTTATTATTGCTAATTAGAAAGGTAGATGCCCTGTCTTACGAATATGTATCAACAAGTGATCGTTAATTATCAATAAAAATATCAGACTAATTGTTTACTTATTGGAAAATTAGCAAAAAAAAAAACATTTTTCAGTATACAAAAACATAGTGGTGGAATGATTATGTATGGTAAAATACAAGACTTTTAAGGTACTGACTTGATGGGAAAGGCCAACTAAAGATAGTTATTTCAGAATAACAAAAGAAATGAAAATTCATTAACTATAACATGTACAGGCTTTTATTATTATGGGTGAAAGTTGTTTAAGAATACTTTTGGCAGGAAAATCATAGTTACAGCTGAGCAAATAATAAATTATTAGAAGAAATATACATTCTTAACTTGTCAATTTGTGAAAACAAACTGCCTAGCTTTCATACTTCCATTAAGTTTTTAATTAGAATTGAAGCAATTGGATGTCAATCTTTTTCATGATTAGTATCATGTATGATTTCCTAAGTCTAATTACTAATTAGTACCCTTTTTCATTTATTTTTTACCATTATTAAATAGATACTGCTTAACATTAAAATAGTCATTTGATTCAAGCTTCAATTTGACTCTAGTCAAGTGGATAATGCCCCAGACTTCCATCAAGAAGACCCAAGCCACTATGAAAACAAAAAAAATACCCAAGACTCTCTTGGAGACAGTAGCAGATTATTTAGTAATTAGTATCTAATTAATGATAAAAAAATTACAATAACTAAATTAGCTAATTCTAAGTCTAGACTTGTCAAAATAGTGCTCATTCTTTTTTAAGCACCGCTCATGTTTAGACATGATTTTTCCTGTACCATTAGAGAGTTTCCCATCAGTTTGATTTGCTGCTTTTCTTTACTTAGTATTATGTTACCTTCGTCCTTCTTGAATTTTTTTTCCATTCACCTGAAATGCTTTCAATTTTTCTATAACCACCATGTTTCTTCCTTTTTACTGTATATATAAAAAATTTGCTTATGGATAGCTGATTCTCAAGCCCATATTGCTTTCATGTTCTTAGACTCCGATGTTGCTCTTCAGTAATCTTTTACATTTGTATCAATGGTGACTGGATGCACATTATCTGTTTAAGATATTACCACTATTGTGCATTAGATGGTCGATTCCTATCTGGCGACTTCTCCAGACCACGTTTTTCATTATTCTGTTTCATTGCCTTCTGTGATGCTTACCTTGCCTGTGGAAGATTTTGACCAGCTTTTTCTGCTTCCAGCCTTTGCTAATGATTATGCTACTCCGAATGAGGAACAGGTACCTCCTGCTTCTTTGTTTGCTATACTCATTACTCAGGTATGTGAAATTCTCTCTCTTTCACCAATGGATCTGGATGATTCTTGAGTTCCTTTACCTCATGAGTCTCCATCAACTGACTTTGTCTCCCCTCCAGGATATTTATGCCTATGCTGATGCCATTTTATTCCAAGTTCTTGTCATTCAACATTTTCTTCATCCCCACCCAATCCTTTTTTGACTCGTTTTCTATGATCTATAATTTTGAGTACCAGACTTTCAACTCCCTTCTTTCCATTTGAGGTGCTTCTCTTTCTCCTTCTGTGTTTCTTTCCTTCTAGCAATCTACTTATCTCTATATTACCTTTATTCATCTTCTTTGCTATATCTCTACCCTCACCTCCAACTTAAGCTCACCATCATGACTCCAATAATGTTGTAAGTAATGCCCATTCTTATTTGTTTGCCCCTTTGGATTCTATTTCTTATTCTGCTGTCTATTTTCACATGGGCTCTTGTTTTTGGGATCTTCTCAGTTGGGATGCTTTCCTTTTGGGTACCTGCTTCTCTTCCTCCATGACCTTTATCTTGCCTATTTTCTTACACTGAGTCTTTAGGTAGTGTTCCTGACTCCATGGAATCCCAGTCTGAGGCTGCTTGCCTCATTGTTTCTATGATTTCAACACTCACTAGACCATGGTACCTCAGTCTGCTACCCATCCTCTGAATTTACTTCAGACTATCTAACCTTGTCCAATTGCTTCTTTTGCTGCTCCCACTCCTGCAAGGCAGGCTATTGCAGCTTTTGGTGGTAACTTTTCTTTGGAGCCGATTCTGCCTCTCTTGCTTTGCCCACCTGTGGTCTCCCTTCACTAATGACCCTTTGGTTGTGCAAGTTTTTGCGTGGTCTGCTGTCCCAACACTTTCATACTCCACCCCCTTTTCATTCTCTCCCAATCCTCAGCTTCTCTCACTCCACTCAGGGTTCTTATTGCTCACCATTTGTCATCTACAAGAAGACGAGAAATTAATACTCTGTCATCTCTGTATCTCTTTTTTATTGTTCCTCAATTCTGAAGGAATGGCTTTCTTAGTCTACATTGCAACCTCTTTTTTGGGCTGTGAATGACTGAGATTGATATTTCAGATGCCTTCCTTCACATTCCTATTGGTTCCATGTCCCATCATTTCTCCAAAATGGGTGAGTATTTCGGTTATGTACTCTTCTCTTTGGCTTATCCACAGCCCCTTATGTTTTCAAGTGAATCATGCATTTCCTCTGCTTGGCACATACATCTTCTGGACCTTCACTTCTATTATTATATGGATGGCTGGTTTCTTCTGACCCCATCTCAATAGGATTCAGTAATTGCTAACTCCAGAAAGTGTCTTGCCTGGTCCAGCTGGTCAAACTTTCCAAGTCTGTTATAACTCCCACTCAAAACTATGTTGTTTACATGTATGATTTTCTCAATTCCCATGCAACGAGGACTCAACATTCTCCTTTGCATCTTTGCACCATGGAAATGTTTGTGTCAATACACTCTCCTTTTCTTCCTATGTGAGAGGTTCTCATGCTTTTGGGAACTTTTGCCTCTCTTGAAATTCTGATCTCTCTTGGTTGTATGCACATGAGTCCCTTTCAGTGGGCTCTGGAGATCCATGGATTATATCCTACGATCCCTTGTCTGTCCTTACGACTCTCCCTTCCTCTCTCCATCCATTTCTGTCCACTCCAATACAACCTAGGGCATTCCACTCCCCCCATCAATATCTCCTTACATATCTACAACAATCCCCTGTTTCCGATTGTGGTATAGTTCTTGGTACTACCACCACACCCTCCAGGATCTCGTCTCCAGAGGAACAGCAAGACAAATTATTTGGTCACAATTGTTAGGCTATCTTGTGATAATCCACTCGAACAACTTTATGGTAATTTCTCAGATCAACCACCAGGGAGGTACCCACTCTAGGGATCTATATGTTTGCTCCATGAAACTACTTTATTGGGCCAATGATCATCGCATTTGCCTAGTGGCTTGTCATTTCCTGGGGTTTTTGAACCTAGTGCCAAATTGCTTGCCTCAACTAAACAGAATCCATCACATGAACTGGTCCTTTGTCTTCCATTGAATTTTTTTCCCCATTTTAAGACCCCACTGATCGATGCTTTGATGACTCATTTCCAAGTTTACCTTCTTTTGGTCCCCAGTTCCTCACTCAACTGTTCTGGCTTTCGATGCTCTGAGCCAGGATTTATCCAGAGTTTCTTTTGCTTTTTCCTCAGGTAATATACTATTTACGACACCCCTTGCCAGGATCTTTTGATTTCTCCTATTTGGCTGGCTAATTTGTGGTTTTCATTTCTTTGTTGCTTGTCGTCCAGGGAATCTCATCCCTTCTATCTTTTACAACAGGGTGTGGGATATGTCCTGTCCCTTGTGAGAGAAATAGTATTCAGTTTTAATCACTTCACTATTAAAACTTTCTTGTTTACTGTTCTAGTAATGCTCATATTGTTTTGTAAATTTAAGCATATCAATAAGAGATATACTCCTAAAGAAACATGCAATTGTGTTATTGTACACTTCCCAATTTCTCTTTCTGTAGCTTCGGGGTTCCATAATTTATAAGTTTTCGCAGTCTTCCAAATAAACATCACAACTGAATCCTCTGCGGTAGTGTACTACTTCCTACTAAAGAGTTCCTTGGCCAATTCTATATTGTCTAACACGCTAGGTACAAATTAGTAAATTTTTCTTTAAATTCTCTCCAGTGTTCAAAAGTCATTTCTGATCAAAAGCCTTCCACCATTCTAGTGGCCCTCCCCTCAAACAAGAAGCTGCAGTTTCCACCCATTTATTCACAGGTACTTGATACATATAACAATGTCTTCCTAAACTTTTAAGAAACTCCAAGACATTAAAATCTGATTTCCTGTCAAACTTCACAACAGACAGGGGGTGAGTTGACTGGTGATGTAAATTGGTGAATTTTCTACAGGTCTGTAGGTAGAATTGGCTCTCAACTTTTGAGGTTGAGGGAGATTTAGGTTCTCTCGCTAGTAGATCAGTCACCAATGCATGTTAGCATTTCCACCTGTTCTGTCAATACCGACATAGACTGCTTCAAGCTTGCCACATCAGACTCACTAACTTCCATAATAACAGTTATTTTCAAACACTAGCTAACTTATGTTTAACTGAAGATACATTACTGCTGAATTAATCACTTGATACCAAATTGAGAAACTCAAAAAATACAAAGTCACAGTTCTTCGAGCACCAGTGTAACAGTTTAAAAATGGACAACCCAATACAATCAGGATTCAACAACAAAAAACAATTTATTTAACAATAACAACACTTATAAATTAATTAAACACTTGCCAAAACACAGTTATTAAACAATATTAAACAATCTATCACAAATATTATTTCAAACAATGGAAACACGAAAAAGAAAAAAACCTAATTAAAATAAAACCGTAAATACAATATTCCAAAAATAACTTTAAATATCAGTAACAAACAATAAACAGCAATTATTCACTAACGGTCTCGTGACTCTCTCTTTCACAGTAGAGCTTCTGGCAGGGTATTTATTCATAGAGTAGATTACGAGAGTATAACCTCGTGATCACAAATTAACATACTTTTCTACTATATTAATAGTATCTGTACATCACTTCTGTGGAAGTTGGTGTCAGTTTCACCATAGGCACATATTTACTCAAAATACAAATTATTAGCTAGAAAGTGAGTTAGCATTTTAATGCAACTAAAAATTCATAAATAAACTAA